GCCCCAGCCAGCAGGTGAGAGCTTGGCTGATGCCAAAAAGCACTTTTCTTATCCCGTGTTCTGCTCCGGCCCCTGCCTGTAGCGAGTTTTGGGGGCTTGCAACTATCAAACTGCTGCTCGAGGGGCTGAGGGGTGGGGCAGAGGGCACTGGGAGCAGGGGACACAAGAGTAACGGGCTGGAGGACAGCTGTCGTGTGATACTTTGGGATGACCTTCTCAGTGGTGCCCAGCGACAGGACAAGGGGCAGTGGGCACAAACTGAAGCAGAGGAAGCTCCAGCTGAACCCGAGGAAGAACTTCTTCCCTCTGAGGGTGACGGAGCCCTGGCCCAGGCTGCCCAGGGAGGCTGTGGAGTCTCCTTCTCTGGAGATATGACTTCTCTTCTGCATTAACAGCATCGGCTTGAAGCCTTGCATGGATTTCAGTGTGCTATCTTTGTACTTAAAAACCGAATAGTTTTTTATTAATTTTGCATTATTATTTTGCACCTTTTTTCTAAAAGGCTGCCTGGTGTCAACTGTCTTTGAGTCCTCAGCGATGCTGCGTTTTGAGTTGTGCACACATGTTAAATATAGTTCAGTATGGGCATCCAGCTGGCAGCTTTACCTTCCAGGAGGAGAGCCTGTCTCTCTCTGAATTGTCTCCAAACAGTAATCCTTTGTGCATTCTGCGTTACCAAATTCCCCCCAAAGCCGGTGTTCCCTGAAGGCCTTCCCCGGACCCCTCTCTCCAGCAGCCGAGGTGCGGCCGCAGACCCCCACGGCGTGGTGATTCGTGGCTCGTTTCTGTGGTTCTACCGAGAGCTTGACTTCTTCTGGTGGAAGTCGGGGATGGGGAGCATCTGTATGCTTCGTGACTGGCACGTATCACATCTCAAACCATTGCAGTCATCAACATCTATCGCACAGGCTGCCTTTTTTCATCACACTGATGCTCTCGGAAGAACAGAGCGTAAGAACAACATCATTTGGTCTCCTCGAAAAACATATGCTTATGTGAAGTTCTGCCATGTGTCAGGTTTTTTGCTCATGGGCAGGGATATTCTCCTGGTTCTCTCAGCCACAAATTTGACGCTTATACAAATTGTGGACCTCCCCAGTTGCAGAGATCTCTCTGGTAGCCTCTGGAGATCTATGCCGACAGTTCGAAATCTTTTATCTTCCCCTGTGAGTAAATACTGGTTTGGAGTAGAATATTTGCCCAACTTGCTCAGTTTTTCACACGCCCTTTCCTCACAGCAGTGCTGTCTCTCGAAATGATTCTATCCCTGATAGGCAAAGGGTTTAATACCTAGTTGGTCTTTGCTTCCCAGTCTTGCCAGGAAGCCCAATAAAAGACTGGCTTTTTACAGTTTTATTGTTACAGAAATCGGTAGAATGATGGAGTTTCTGTGCAGACATGCGCAGAGCAGCTCTGTGCCCCGGAGACAGAAGTAGGTCTGGTGTCCCCAGAGTCTCTGGGCACGATGCCACGAGCGGCGGAGACAGATCTGCAGTCTTGTGCGTACAAATGGCGGGGCAGGTCAACCGAAGAATGGGAAATCAGGGTGAGAAAATCCATCTGCCGAGCAGCATGGAGTGTATTGATCTGGTACGAAGATACGCTGATGGCTCAGGCACAGGGCATCAATTTTGCATCTCCTCATCTGTTTTTTTCTTTTTCCCAGTTTTGGTATCCGGATATTTATAACGTTAAGGTGATGAGGAAAAGTTAACATAATTCATTTGGATATTTTTCCTCTCCCTGTGCCTCATCCAATCCACAAGCGTTTTGTAATACACAAGTTGAATTTAAAATGGCTGGGCTCCGTAGCAGCCCCTTTGCTCTGCCAAGCTGTGGGTTTGCCTTGGCGCTGCCGGTCCTGTGAGACTGGGATGCTAACTGGGCAAGTGCCCCTGCTTTCCCAAAAGCTGGAATGGCAGGAACAGCAATACAGAGCCACGCCGTCAGTCTTTTTTTTTTTAATGTGGCAGAACGAATAAACACTGCTGGAGCTGAGCGGGTGCTGTGCCATCTCCTGCGTGTCTTGCACTGCTTGGGGCACGCGGTGCGTTCAGCCTGGGCGCTCGATCCCCGTCACCAAATACTCCTTTGGTTCACCAGTCCTTCTGTTGGAAGCTTACCGGTCGTGGTTGAATTTTAGCTGTTTGAGGGTGGATGGCATCTTGTTTCCTCGATATGCCTTCTACAGCTTTATTGTATCAATACCTAAAAACTGGCTGAAGAATCCTGCCGCTAAAACAGCGCGGAGCAAAATGTTACGACACGGGTTTACGGTGGAAGTGGCGACGACGAAAGCTTACAATGCTCGGCTGTTCACCTTCCGGTCGGCTTTTGGCCCTCGGTCACGGTGCTGGGCTGTGCGTGCTGCGGGGCCCGGGTGGAGCGGTCGGTGCTGTGCTCCAGAGCCGACACGGTGCCTCGGTGCCACGCTTCCGAAGCAGCAGGGTTTTGTAAAGTGCCTGCAGCATCCGTTAGAGGAGCTGAAGGAGGAGACACCGGCAGCATGGAAAACGTGGAAGTTAAAGCTGAAAGCAAGCAGTATCTAATGCAGCGTTCTATTCCTGTTCTGCTGTATAAAATCTGGCAGGCCAGTGGAGCACTGCTTTCCCTGGAAGGGTAAAACTGCTTTTTTGGCTGCCACGTTGTTACTGCAGCACCTCCAGAAATAACAGGGGTCCAGCTTTTACTCCAATTATTGCGTTTTACTCATGCCTTGGACAATAAGTGTTGTATATTTCAATGCCTGCTACGTTGTGTAGTCAGTTTTTGAATGCCAGGATCAGCTGGCTGTAATCCGCGTCGTAGGAATCTTTGAAGTTGGTAGGTGGGGACTTTACAGGGCCCACTAGAACAACCTCTGGGATTTAAAGAGTCTGAGTCATTGCAAATAACCTTTCCAAGACAGTTAGAACTCGTCTTTTCAGGTAATGGATCTTGCATTTAAATGTGTTTTAAGCATGGGCTCTTGTACAGTGTTTAAATTAGGAATCATAGAATCGCTAAGGTTGGAAAAGGCCTCGAAGACCATCCAGTCCAACCGTCAGCCCAGCACCCCCGTGTCTGCTAAACCATGTCCTGAAGTCACCTTCAGGTGGAGAACAGAAACCTGCTCGGTCAGGTGGCTACTCTGGCACATGCTTTCCCTCATGTGTTTCTTCTCTGTTATGTTTTTTTAATTTTTTGAGGCCCTGCGTAAAGTTCGCATCATCTTTGAGAATCTGTGTTCATGCCTGAGGCTTCTCATCCTTCTCTATGCAGATTGCTCATTCTCTGGCCCTCTGAGGCCCCTTCTCAGGGGATGAGAGGTTTCTAACACAGTTACTGATCACAGAATCATTAAGGTTGGAAAAGACCTCTGAGATCACCAAGTCCAACTGTCACCCCAACCCCACTATGTCTGCTAAACCATGTCCTGAAGTGCCACATCCACACGGTTTTTGAACCCCTCCAGGGATGGGGACTCCACCACTGCCCTGGACAGCCTGGTCCAATGCCTGACCACTCTTGCAGTAAATAAATTTTTCCCAATATCCAATCTGAACCTCCCCTGATGGAACGTGAGAGTGCCCTTCTCTTCTGTAACCGGTCCCCGTTCTGAGCTACAGTTCTGTTCTGACTCTGTGCCTTGAGCTAGAGAGAGAAGCGGGCGGCTGTGTCCGGTGAGCCGGTTCCTCGGTGACGTACAGGCTAAATAACCCTTTTTCCCCCCATTCTTTTCCTGGCCC